TATATATATATATATATATATATAATTCAATAATATAATAATATAATAATATAGTGATTTACATGAAACACCAACAGTTTGCTAGTTGTAAGATCGTTCTTATACGGCAGATAAATAAGGATAAAAATCTACTCAATGTTCGTATTCCCTTATATTTATGTGCGTATTATTGCACCACCTCTTCTGTTACTCTTAAATATTTTGGTCATGGTTCTTGCGTTCGAGTTTGCATCAAATGTGAAAGTAGGTAAACAGTACATAAAAGTTATTGTGGATGCTATCGTTTGTCACTGTTTTGCCTGCACCAGTGATAAACACTGCTTTTTATTTTCAGAGAATGAATAAAATTGTTGGCTATGTATTAGGCTTAGGAAGAACGAATATTATGTCAGGTTTCCATGTCGCTCGAGAACTTCATTTCTCTGCCGCAGTAAATACCTCTGTATTTATGAAAAAACAAAAGAAAGTTGACCCCGAACTTGCGAAAATCAGAGAGAATAGAAAAAGGTTAGTCTATGAGAGGAATCTCTTAAATATCTGTTCCCGTAAAATGTAAAATTCGTTCTTTCTTTTTCCACTGTTATCGTTGGTTTTTGGAAAAGAGACTTGACAAGAAGTATGTCAAAGGTGTTTTGGAATTGGAAAAATTAGAAATTCAAAAGCTGTGGAACACTGACTGTATGCCGAAAACCCCAGTAATCATTTCACTGCTAGAATACAAAAAAACACATCCAGGAGGAAACTAGAAAAGGAAATCCGACAGTTGAAAAAACATGGGAAGACCCCTAAACCTGTGGAGGAACTTCAGCTGGACCTTAAATCAGCAAAAAATGAGAAGGAAAGATATAGGCTCCCGACTCAGGTAGACTTAAGAAGTCCTTCCGCATATTTTATTGTTAATAAGACCTGATTGCCTTTTTGCAGCATACGGAAGACGAGCTTGATAGGCGAGCTGAGGTTTTTTCAGAGTATTCTAAATCTCGATCACTTTTAATGATGAAGGATGACCAGTGGATTCGAGAGAGCATAAGACTGCAAAATAAGGCTCTCAACGAACTTAAGGTTTGACCATTATTAAGTCAAGTTTTTCATTTAAATCTGTCATGCTGTGCAAATTTCAGTAGTGTTTCCTAAATGTAATTATTTAAATTTAAGAAACTACTTAAATCAGCAGAGCGTCACAGATTTAAGTGAAAAAAACGTGGTAATGCGTAAGCTGCACATTTTTTTGTGACAGTATTCCTTCTAATGATAGGATAAAGTTTTGTGAACTAACTGACAAGCATTTTATTTTTTTGTGAAAATTCCACGTCGTAGGAACAGTATCCCGGTATACTTTTGCCTTTGACTTCACGAATCTTCCCAGTATTTTTTACAGAATATGGCGCCGGAATTGTATGACGCAGCAGTTCAAGAAGACGTTACTGTTGACAAAACTGTCGTGCTGCAAGGCCCTGTACTTACGCCTCCTTTACCAAATTATGACCCGCCTGATGGCGATTATATAGACACAACTCGGACATGGGTTTAAATAAGAGCTGGATTTACTGTGAAGCAGAGCGGATCCTGGTTGCACAAACACTGGGATAATCTTAGTTTCTAGTGTAGTAACAAAATTAAATTTAAAAATTATGAGACTTTAGCTCAGATAATTTTGCCTTTTATTCTTCCCTGACGTATGGATTTAAGCCCTTTATTTTTCGTTGTATTTAAAACCACGTGAGAGTAAGTACATCTCGGCACTAAAGTCTCGACTGGATTTTGGTTTAACAGTATTTACAGATTTGAAGTATTGCTTTAAGTATTGTATAAATTCTGTCCGTCTACTGCCATCCCAAATTTTGCACAAGAAGGTGCCGCTTTCTTTCAAGTTGATAGTGAAGGGACTGTGGCAAAACAGATCTGTTGCTTTCTTGCATAAATTAATGATTCGCTCATGGTCAACGCCTCCGTCGCCTGCAATAGCTTTATAAGTGTTTTAACCATAGTCTTTTGGAGGATTTAGATTATAAAAGCAGTCATTGTGTTTTTTCGCGCTATTACTGTTACTACTAACTAGAAGGCCATTCCTGCTAAAAATATTGTTATAGTTCAGGAGAGCTACTTACCGGTGGGGTTTGGTGCCATATCACTCAGTACCACGTCTACATCTCTATTGTTCAAACTGTCTTTGATTTTGTTTCGGGTACTTTGCTCTGTCACGTCTGATAAGCTGAGTAACCTAACACCTGGGAGAGGGTGGATGTACTAAATTAATAGATTATAAATAAAACTTTCAAATAATTTGAGCTTCAAACGTTTTACAGAGGTAGGGCTGCTTTGCCACTCACGCGCACTTTTTAGCGTTCGTTTCAAAATAAGGAAGTAGACTGATTTTGTTTTCGTCAGGAAAGGAGGGCTTAGGGAAAGGTGGATTAGAAGACAGTAGAAGATACACTAGCTTTATAGCTGTATGGAAGTGAGGGGTCTCACTAGTTTCCGAAGTTGACGAACTTTCAGTTAAGCAGTGGTTGGAGCAAAGGCCTTGTTAGTAACGCAACTGGCTACCGCTGTCTTTCTTACGGCCGTCGTAGCATCGGTTGGATTGGTTGGAGTAAAATTTAGAGGTTGTCAGTGGGCCCATGGCATGCTGCGGCCAGCCAACATCTCTAAGAGCTTTTTCGGACTGGCTGTGACGCTTGTTTGGAATCCTGTCAAACCCAGGCGGCAGGGGCTTAAACAGTGATGCAGAAGCCATCAAGCATCATAAAAGTTATCCGAGTGTAAACATTCCGTATGATCGTTAGTGTACTAAGTAAGGGATAAAAAATTCTCATACTAGTTAATCTTAAAAGAACAGTAAAAATTAAAGATTCTCTTTGCACACTTCGAGATGAAGCGTCTCTTTTCTTTTCATGTTATGTCCTCTCTAAAGTTTCTGAATTTTGCGCTGATTTGAGCAATTCCCGTATTTTGTTTCAAAAATCGCAAATGATATTTGTAAAGCGTCTACAAGTTCATATGGAATGTTCATTTGTTTATAGTAAAAATGGATAAGTGTTAAGGTAATTCATGAATTTTATCTGCTTCACTGGTAGAGCTTCCAGAAAATTTAAAATTCATGGCAACATGCAAGAAATACTGTTTCAGAGGGAAGTTGGAAGATTTGTTAGGACGTTAAAAGGAATGAGAATATTTTATCTAAGAGGAACAAACGGAAAGGAGCGGAAGAGCCGTTCTCTTGAATGGCCTGGAACAGGCTTGCAATGCTTTTTTAAGACTTGTAAATTCCTGAGGAATAATGCACATTTGTAAGAAAGACTCGCTATTTGAAGAAATGTTATACTGCAGACACGACGCAGTGAAGTCAGGGTAAAGAAATTTGACGTGGTCCGGGTGTGACGTTAATGATGATGAAGAAGGTACTGCACGATGTGCAGAAGAATTTATGAGGATGCAAAAAAATTAGTCCACACGACTAGCTTCTGTCATCCAGCACGGCAAAAGGTGCTGTTGTTTCTTTCCCACTTTCCTCCGCTAGACCTTAAACTTTTCAAATTATGGAACCTCTGCACAACTGCTACGGAGCGGGAAAAGTGAAAGAAATTATCTATTTCAGTGTTATGAAAGAATATCTGCATCAACCGTTTTGTGAAAATCAGTCTTTCCTGTTGTTCTCTAAATGACTTTAGCAGCGGCCTGTTCCCAATGCTTCAGCAGTTTGGCATGCAGTTTTTTGGCATTTTGGAATCAGAATCTGTACAGACGGCACTCAACCACCCGAAGAGGCGTAATCATCAGAAAAAGTGAGAGTGGAACTGATACAACAGAATTCAGGAAATATACTGCTGTTGCTTTTAAATTTGTATAATGACAGCTACTGTCTTCCTTACAGATACGGCGGAGCGGTACCGAATTAGTTTTAATTTAAATTCAAACTTGCAAATCTACTCCGAGCACATAAGATGTCTCTTCTTCGGGAATTTTCAGCAGCTCTAATAACACTTGACACCATGATCCAGGAGCGGCACCAAGGTCAACCACAGCATAACCTGAAAACCAGAATTCACCATGGTTTTAATTCTCAAACCGTACACTCCTCTGATGTCTGACAAACTTTTGCATATCTAAAGTGAAATGAATCAAAAATGTTTAACCTGGCTTTATTATATGATACTTCTCGTTAATTTCAAGTAGTTTGAATGCGCTTCTAGCTCTGTAATTATGCTCTCTTGCCTAAAAAGTATTATTAATATCAATAGATGGCGTTTCTGTGAGATTTTCACTTAAAGACTATATTTGGCTCAACCCAAACTTTCTTGCAGTATCAACGAACAACATTTACAGAAGACCTTCAGTAATGTTAGCGTTTTGAAGTAAGAAAGTGAGGGAAAAAATATGTTTTAAATCCGCTTTCCCACTTGCTTCAATACTTGTAACCTACTACTAATTAGGTTTCACTGAACAGTAGTGTATTGTTTTTGCTTTTATTCTTCTACCTAACACCAATCTTTGATGTGCGAAGAGACTTGAAAAATTAGTAATTTGCTGTCTACTGGTTCCTTTCCAAAATTTTGCTTGGAGTAACAAAGGATCAGGTGAGTTTAAAATGCACCATTTGCAAAACAGTCAACACCTTATGTAAACCAGGTTCCGGCTTTAGAAACTACCAGTCACTTGTCAAATAGCCAATAATCACAGAAAAAAGTAACTAGAAAGTAAACTGTCAAATGGAATTTATTAAACAACACCTCATTCAACCACACCGAAAAATTTATGGACGACTAGTTCACTATGAACTTAACCTTTTTACAGAATTCATCGTCTTGTCGCTTTAAATAACGAAGGAGAACTTTTTTTGTGGAATTGGGACGGCTGCACGGGGGAGTAAGAATGCATTTTCCTGAGAAGACACAAGGACGGAACATCGAAAGGTTGGTCTAGAATCCAAAAAATCCTCAATGGCTGGGTGTCAGAAACAAGTTGCTAACTGTCAAACATGAGTCTTCGCAAATACACTTAATTAAAATTCAAATGAAAAAGAGTAATGAAGTAATGAAAAGTGGGTAGTCCCAGTAAAAACTGCACTATTCTGTTAATGACACTTTATTTTGTCCTCTTTAATTACAAGTACGATACTGGAGAAACAGAAAGGCATTTTAGAAGGCGACTTTCATAACCTAATCATATAATGAAGCAAATCTTTATTTTCTTCAAGATCTCATTCTTTTTTATCTGGGAGTACTAGCTCAAATAAGTCTTACTTTTACCGATAGTTTTCTCAGTGGCAAATAGGACGGCCACTTTTAGATGACATGCAACAAGTTTATCACAAGACTGATAAAACAGTTTGGCAAAGGCTCCGTAAGTGGGCATTAAACGATGTTTAGCCCATCACTGAGAGTGGGAATTTGGATAACTTTTCATGCCATCTAGCGGAGGTGCTCGGCGCAGAACTTAGAACTACTGGAAAAAACAGCTGCAAAGAGTTTCCTAGAACTCTCTTGGAGTTAAACAGTTATTCACCGCTTGCATCAGAGAAGGGTTTTCCATTGCAGCTGCAACTCTTTCTTTATCAGCGAGCTGTTTATTTATAGCATCTGCAGTGTTATGAGTCCCGGGGTTCACGCGAACGATGACCTAAAGTTTTATCATTGAACACTAGCCTTATTTAGAAAAATGCAGAATTTGTTCTAAGGAACTGGATGAAATAATATAAAATCAGGAGCAAGAGACTGATAACACAAGTTTCTACATCAGTACAACAAATTTTTAACGATTACCCTGATAGATGGATGAAGGGAACGAGAAAGCTTCACTCGGATTGCAAGCCCAATAAGAGTTGCCATTGAACAGTGTGGTATCGTTGGGACATATCTTACCTAAAGTCCAAGAAAAATTATTGCTGGAAGTAAAAATTAGTTCAGAAGAAGTGGATGCTCTGTGCATTTTACTGTCATGTACCACCCAAACTTAAAATGACCTTTGGCCCTCCTTACTGAGTCAAAACTAACATCGACAATTGTTTCGCCATCATCTGTCTCGACTGTTATAAGTTCTTCTTGAATCACATTTAGCTGCTCTAAAGTTAACGGATGCTCCGGATCGTTAATATCGCTGCAGCATAATATAAGTTAGATTAAAATACTTGAATAATTTTGCCCAAACACTCGGAAATGTGGAGACCAAGTCTTCAAACAATTGTAATAAAAATAAAACAGGCACCGTAGTAGATCAAACACTTCCCTTGCGTCGATTGGGTCATCAACTGTTGCATCAAATGCATGCAAGTCTAAGCGATCCTCCCTCTCCTTTACCACATACACAACTGGAGAAACGTTTTCTAGTTTGGTCAACGCCATTTTGCAACGAGGATGAGATGACTGAGTTCAGGTCGAATCGGGGTGTTTTCAGCGCCAAATGTTTAATAATTTGATGAGCATACGAAATTCACAAGTGACACTGAGTGAAAGGCCGACTGTTACTGTAAATGAACTTAAAAGCCACCCAGCCACCGTTCCACGCCTGTATCGTAAACGTCACCAGTGCTAAAAAATAATTAGCAGTAACTCATCCACCTTTTAAAAAAACGCTTTCAACAGCAGCTTGAGAACTAATCACTGAGGCTTACAGAACTCTGTGTCGGTTAAATTTACAACACATTTACCTACGGTTCTGGACAAACACATTTAAAAATTTATTAAGTCTGCAAAATACTATCAAAATGAAACATAGAAGAGTTGCACATAAATCAGCACAAAAAAATACATGACCACTTGATCTTTGAAACCAGTAGCTGGAAAAACTGTTTCAAAAAATTTATTTACAACTCAAATATCTTTTGCTCAAAAACAAGCTAAAATATTTACCACCTTCTAACATTTAAAAACAACAATGTCCAAATGGGAAGGACCCGTTTAAAAGCATCGTAAATTACGCCAAATTACAACATTATTTCATAAAAGTTGAGTAAATATCATACACATAATAACATAGGATATCGATGCTGCTTTTCCAGCTAATTTGCATAACACGAGACGTAAGCTACTCTTTGCCTTATTTTAGTACATAATGGAATGACGGTATAAGCTTTCGAAGGAATTCTAAGTGGGCCAGTTGCTCCTAAAAAAAAAGAAACAAAATAAAAAAGAATACATTTATTGAATGACCGCATCAACTGCCCGAAAAATGCCCAAAGCAACAAATTGTATCGTAATAAAACTTTCTAGGTGTCTCTAAATAATCCTACTGAGGAATTTTCATTTATCAAAGAAGGAATATATATATAT